TTTATCATTAACAGAATTTATTGGCCTCCGGCAGTAATTTTACTTTTACTTTCCGATGGTTTATAGTAAGGAAAATACATTATCTCGCGTAAAAACGCTGCACAACTTAACCGTGCGTAAAATATCCATGCAAATAACGAGCGGCAACTTCCAGGTGTGCCACACAGAAACTGTTGCTCAAACCGTAGCCAAGCTGATGATGACAAATCGTGCCACTTTACAGACAACATTCAGACAAACTGATTATCCGTGACGTCTACAAATCTGACCAGCACGCCGCAACATGGTTTTATCATCCGATCGGTTATACCCAGTCACCGATTATCGTTTTACCATTCGCCGAGGATTTATCTCGATGGTCGGAACATGCCACCGGCGGCCGCGCCGCTCGCGATAAGAAAGAGCTATGATAACAAGCCACTATTTGCCGGAGCAACACACGGTGTCACGCCGCTACCGTGGACCCCGCGCGTGCTCTCCTCCCTTTGTTTAACTTCTGCTCCGTTGCGAACGCAATCGCGACACCGTTATCGGCTTTTAAACCGTCATCGCGGCTGCGTGGGCGGATAATTAAATCGTACACGGAAATTATGCAATTCGAGTCGGCTCTCCGATGATGATAACAATACGAATTACTCAAACAGCCACGAAAATTGTAAATTAAGATACTATTTGAACCGATGAAGTTTCCTTTAAATACAGAGAATCAGTATAATCCTATAGAATTTTTTACTACGTTTTCTTCTAAGATTACGCTGGACCGTTATTACGGTTAGATATTATCTAGATTTCTGCCCGACAGCTCCCGCCGACTGAGAAACAGCGCGAGTAATTAATCAAAGACAATCAAACTCTGGGAGCGTCGTCCCGAGGCGACTCTCAGCAGGACTCGACTCGCTATCCGTCATCTCTCCTCCGTTAAATCCGGGAAAAAATGCGCGCGATCACTGAAGAAAATAAAACTAGAGCACGCGCTTCGCCTGAGACGAAAATCTCGCACGTCATCCGTGACTTTCTCCGGGAAAGTTCCACGAGATAACGATCTATGCTTCAGAAAAGCATAAAATAGTGAGATAATTTTAAATGTAAAGCCGATGTTTTGTTCGTGACGATTAATTGTACTTCGAAATAGACAACAAAGACGCCTCGTAATTACGACGCCAATAGAATTAATTAACTCCGCGAGATTCATCGAAATAATTGAAAATTAGAATACTGCTCCATTTATATCGGCAAGAATAATGGATCAGTTGTTCTCTTAACAATGCAAAGCCATTAGCACGCGTTTTAGTAATTTACTGTGAAACGTATTCGCCAATATCCACCGTCGAAAGGTTAAACAATGCAGCGCGATGGAAGCCGACGAGCGATCGTGTCAGAGAGCCACGCGGGTGAGACCCATATTAATTTCGATCGGCACGGAATGCAAACGAGCCGGCGACCTTCGTGCAAATTTCTAATTTCACTGCCCCGCTATATCTATATGCGAGGTGTATTACCGGCGGATCACTTTCGCACGGCCGCCGGTCCTTTTTACCGAATCGCTGCACGCCCCGCGTACGTAGGTACGCAAACAGCGTGACGTCACTTCTAGATCCGTGGGACGTTCGTGCTCGTATCCCCGATGTGACGCGTGACAAGTTTCCTTTATAACCGCGGGACGTTTCGAAAAGGGAGTCCAAAGGGGTCGCCGATGAAAGCCGCGACCGCGGCCACGACTACGAACGGCCAAGCGACCCAGGCCACGCTAATGCGCTCGTCAACTTTTACGAGATCGTGCCCCGGCTAACACGCTAGAAAGTAGACGGGCTTAATGCTCGCCCATATGACAAAACGCAAAAAGGAATACCGTGAATGCTCCTTTCCAAAATTATCCGACCGTCATTACCCGTTTTTTCCTATAGCTGTAACATCGATGATAACTTTCCAAATTTCGATTTATTTAAAAGGAAAGATTTTTCATATCTTGAAATTGCCACCACATAACCAGAAGTGCCATTTGAAACTTTCATTTATTAATTGATTTTACTTTATGTAATGATTGTTTAAATGCAGGAGCATGTTCACCCGATAAGCACTGTCTTATAATAAATGCATAAATTCTTCTAATTAAATGAATAAGTAATTACTTACTTCAAATGATACTATTTATTGACTTATCGCTTTAGCTCAGAACTTATTGATGTTTAGAACTGAATAATAGCTTTGGAGCCTGTCTAAAATAGATCAGAGTGCCTTCGAGCATCCGCAAGATTCCTCAGGGTGTTTCGTACCTCCGGACATCCCGAGCCGCAACCGAACGCGTAGGCTAGAGTCTACTAGAGCCACAACAGGTCGGTCAGCTATGCACGCGTATATGGTATCCACGCACGATCGGAATTTTCCGATAGCCACCAAGAGGCGATTTATGGACGCGCGAGAAAACGGACACCGAGCCGTTATACGCAGCCTCGACTCAGGCAGCCTGGAAAGGGGAGGCCTCAACGTTCAAAGTCGATGCTCAATATCTGCTTGCATTATATCGCTGCCAGCTGCGGTTGCGAATCGATGGGGTGCCTCGCTAAGGACTGCCTTCAACGATTCTCCACAGATCCACGGGACTCAGATTTGCAAAATGAGACTGTTAAACCGCGTTTAAGGAGTTCCCCGAGAACCGGCAAAATCTTAATGCGACGATAATGGCTCAAGTAATTTAAAACACGGAAAATGTTACCGAGAATTGTAACGAGGACAGTTGTATTAATTTTCATGCCATTTCGTACTCTGCTAATATGGTATTACACTCGTAATCATAAAAACGTTTCCCCTTCTCAAACAATTTCTAAACTCCAAAAAAATAACAGCTGACGTATCGAATGTTTTTACGCTACTCAATTTAGACAAATTAGTGAGAAAGTATTCTCGCGGCGATTTTCAGCTACGCAGACGGCGACGATTACGACTGTAAGACAACGATGCCCCGGAGCAAGGACCATGGGTTGTGACCCCAATCGTGTACGAACTATTTTGCGCAGGTGTACGTGGTCATTAATCCAGAAATGGAAGTGAATGCGGGTCCAAATGCTAGCCAGCAACGGTTCGTGTTGTCACGCATTTCTGCTTGCCTCCTTCTTTTCTTGCCCTGCGCTTTTATCCAGCGTGATTCGAATAAACAAAAACGGGCACAATATCTGCTTGCATTATATCGCTGCCAGCTGCGGTTGCGAATCGATGGGGTGCCTCGCTAAGGACTGCCTTCAACGATTCTCCACAGATCCACGGGACTCAGATTTGCAAAATGAGACTGTTAAACCGCGTTTAAGGAGTTCCCCGAGAACCGGCAAAATCTTAATGCGACGATAATGGCTCAAGTAATTTAAAACACGGAAAATGTTACCGAGAATTGTAACGAGGACAGTTGTATTAATTTTCATGCCATTTCGTACTCTGCTAATATGGTATTACACTCGTAATCATAAAAACGTTTCCCCTTCTCAAACAATTTCTAAACTCCAAAAAAATAACAGCTGACGTATCGAATGTTTTTACGCTACTCAATTTAGACAAATTAGTGAGAAAGTATTCTCGCGGCGATTTTCAGCTACGCAGACGGCGACGATTACGACTGTAAGACAACGATGCCCCGGAGCAAGGACCATGGGTTGTGACCCCAATCGTGTACGAACTATTTTGCGCAGGTGTACGTGGTCATTAATCCAGAAATGGAAGTGAATGCGGGTCCAAATGCTAGCCAGCAACGGTTCGTGTTGTCACGCATTTCTGCTTGCCTCCTTCTTTTCTTGCCCTGCGCTTTTATCCAGCGTGATTCGAATAAACAAAAACGGGCAACGGGCCCGCGCGCGATTTCGCGGTTCCAACGCGGTGTAAACATGTCCGCATTTTATAAGTTTTTATCGTTCATTATAAAATCGTTAGATCTCTGCGCGACCCATTAAGATTGTGGAATTAGACGTGTCTGCGAATTGATTTCTCAATTCCGGGTGTGATATGTCGGAGACGATTCCTCGTATGCTACTTTCGTTGCACGCATTTATAAGACGAATTAGCAGATAAAAAAAACTAATTACTAACAAGAATTTTGAATCGCAATGTTAAACTTGCAAAGCTGAAAGCCGTATTCCAAGCCGCACAGCTGACCAGGAGTTGTCCAAGGGAAATTAGCATGAAGCGTACGGCTGAGAGCCACGATGGAACGGTCGAAGCGCGTTTATCGTTGTACAAATAGAGCTCGGTTAATCGGTAGCGTTAGCAAGGACGCGAGCCAGCGGCTGCGTAGCCTTGGCTCGTTCGTAAAACGGTCGACGCGAGGCGAATCGGTTTTCCATAGAATGGCCGGTGGGGTCGGCGGGCTCGTCCGCGCGTGGTATGCAGAAAAAAGTCGAACATAATTAACCCATAAAGCAAGCGCAATCGCGGCGGATCTCCGCGGTTTTATCCATAAGCGAGAGAGACCGGCGACTCTCGAGGCTCGACCAGTTCCACGGTGCCGCGAGACTATTAGGCTCTCGCGTACGCGTATGCGCGATCGTGTGTGCACCTGCACGGGCGCGTGCATAGGGAGACAGGCGATAGCCGATAGAGGTGCTTTCCTTCGCCTTCAGTTCATAATATGCAATTCTACGGTGCCGCGAGTGTTGGAATTTTAAACGCGCCGGCTCGTATGCGCCGTCCCATTGTGGCTAGGCGTTAACTGCGCTCGCAAGCCGACCCCTCGCTATCCGAGAACTATGTCGGTGACGTATTGGGTATTTCGCGAATGTTGAATTAAGTGTTTGTTGCGAGCGTGTCTCGTTTATAGACGTTCGCTAGTTTTAGTAAGCTCGGTTACAGTAAGTACCGAATGTAAGCGAGACGTTAAAATATGCATACTTATAGAAATTGCTCTTTCATATTAAGACCCTCGGAAGAAATCGCTGTCGCGCGATTCTCGTTCTTAGGTACGAAACGGATTTTCGCAATGCGACGTAAATAATAAATGCACGGAGAAAGTTGGTACTCACCGGTAGATACGGAGAGCGGCGGCGGTGTAGGCGTCATCGAAGGTGAAGGGATTCTTCTAGCCGCGGCGGTAATTATAGCCGCCGGACTGTACCGAGGCACCTGCAACACCACGGGAGTTTTCACGGACAGGTCCACTGGTTCCAGCTGCACCGGCGGTCCCGCCGCCTGAAACAGGAACAAAACGCATTCGTTAATGGGCGTCAGCCAACAATCAATTTCGCGAAACGAGCCACCCCTTCGGCACGATATAATAATAAAACGCCGGTTGCCCCGGACGTTGACCCGGTAAATTTGCCGATTACCTCACCGTGTAATCAGAAATTCTTGTGCGCCAAGTATGAATTACAAGCGGCGTATCCTATCTCGTTAGAATATCTAATTTGTTTTAATACGGTGTGATCTCAATTGAGAAGATAAAGAATTCAACACGAGTTAATACAGTCTGTTTGAATTAGAAGAGAATTTTAACGCGATGCGAAATAATGAATTGAAAAGAGTACTTTTGTTCAAAGCTTTCAATTTGAAATGTACGGCCGAAGGGTAAGTAAGTAAGTATCGTGCTCGAATGATCGAGAGCGGCCGATCTGAAATCCCTTCGAGGGAGTGAGCTCGATAAATCGATAGCCAAAGGTACAGTACTACCTTCGTACCTAGCTTATCTGCCAGAGCAGAGCCCGATGCTGGTAGCAGGCCCAAGTGCTTTCGCGCAATTAGCATAACTAGCGTTGCTATTGACGTGGACTAATCACGACCAGTTCCCACGAGATCCGAGTGACCCGAGAGCTGCCCACTGTCTATACCACCGATTCTATTCCCTACTCTGATCGTCTTCAATTGCACGACGATCGATGCACGATATGACGAACGAGCCACGAAATCACAGCCAGCGTATGAGTAAAACTGTTATTCGAGTACGCGTAATTAATCGGAAGACACGTCCGAGCGCGGCGCGGCCCACCGAGGTACTGAGCCGGTATTTGGTGACGCTCGGCAACGCCCTTCAAGCCGGTCAAAACTGCGATAAGAATTTATGCTTGGATAGCTTCGAGCCTAGCTTCGAGGTCATACGTTCGACAAATTAAGAAGATAAACACAAGAAGAAGCAGATAAGCATCAACCTGCGTAAAATCCAGCTAAACGATGTTGTCTTTTGATTGATTCAGCAGTTTTAGAGTACTGATAATAATCTAAAGCAATGTTCATAATGCCTTATTTATATCTAATACTTATTTATATCCAATAACTGTTAATATTTCAATCTTTCATCATTGTTTTTTTATTTTATTAAACATTTAAGGGCTCGTACAATCTTAATGCGTTTGTAGTTTGTTTTGACGTTGCAAAACGTTAGAGTTGATGTATCGGGTGTGAAACAAAATCAAAAGACGACTGGTAGCGTCAGGGTTATGGTAATTTAAGGGAAAACGTAATTTCACAGGAATCGACTCGTCGATTTGTCTTCGTTACGTTTTTGTAAATCGAGTAATTATAAGATCATCGTCGACGTTCGCCCGGTCGCACTTAATTACTTGCGCGGTTTCCCATCCGTTTGCCGAGATTTATAACCGTGCCACACGCGAGAACGACATCGGACATAAAATTGCGTTCGAATCTTTCGTCGTGATCGTTATTACCGCCGATTAATCTCCCGAATCAGGCGAGAGGATCGAAATAATGAATAACTCTTTCCTTAAGAATTTGTACAATATGATTACACCGACTGATGAACACATATTGTCGCAAATATAATTTGAGAATTAATTAACAAATTGCCCCTTTATTATTGTGTTATATTTCGCATGATTCAAAATCGTGAAGGAGTTAAAATTTTGTATCGCGGTGCTACCTGCTTCGACGTGACAGAAGAAATCTCCGGTTGAAAAAAACAGTCGTTTCGTATTCGTTACCTATTCGTAACTACATACTAACTGTGTCTGTGTTACATCGGATTTACAAAAGAGTCGCAGGTACGGAAGGCCAGATTTACAGCAAGGAACGGTGCTCCGACCACCGAGAGAGCGCGATTGTTTCCAGGTAATGTCTTGACGAAACGTGGGAATGCTCGAGCATATGCAGGTATATCGACAATGAAAACCGACCGTCCTCCGCCCCCGCCTTCCGATTCGATACAGCCTCGAACGAACGGTATCGCGTCGTGCGACACGATACACGGCTAATAACGTAACCTGGTTGACAACTGGATGAAGTGGTAACGTTACGCGGTTAACAAATCGTGGACATGTCTCCATACGTGTCGCGGGAAAACGAGATGAATTCGTTTTCACAAAAATTGTAGAATTATTTCAAATCAAAACCGAAGGGAAGTTTGGTTCTCTTTACAAACCGACCATTAATCGTTGGTTGAATTGTAAAGAGCAATGAATGAGTGCATTTCAGTGCATCCGGTGAGTTACAAGAATAATTCGACGGTGAATCGCGATGGATTTGGTAAAACGCGATTAAAAATTAAATTATGGCTGATCCTTCTGATGACTAAAAGTAGAATGGTACATCCGGAGGAAGAGCACATGCCAATCACTATTATTTATTAATGAATCTACTATGTGTTATATTATTTCTGTTCCTCCATCGACATAATTGAACTTCATTTTTCCGATACGAAAAATACATAATCCCAGATGAGCATTGATTCGTTCGGGTCTATAATTCAAGGTTCGTAATCACGAATCGTGTCTAGAATTACAGAAACTTGCGAAACCAAACAGCTGGCGGCATGTCGTTTTAAAAAACAGATTACTCGTCACGCGCAACATGCCCATGGCACGGCGGCGTTCTCGTTTTCAGGAAACTCGTCGTTACTCGTTATTTGTTATTCATGACCAGGGACCGAAGTCTAGCCGTATCCAAGTTTCGGCCACGGCAATGAAAACGTAATAATATGCGCATCACGGCGCACTGAGACATGGCTATCCTTGCAATCCCATGATTCTAATTAAATGACTCCGACGCAGGATGATTGATACTATATAGACTCTACGAGATGCTAAAATTATCAAGTGAATATTATAACGGTTAATAATATTATAACGGTTAAGAGACTTTTATTCGTAAATATGTTAACAAAGGTGTTGGATGATGCGTATTGAAAAAATTATAACTATTCGGTAGCTCGATCCCTCGACCCCCTGTCTAACTCAGGCTTGTTCTCCTGATAAAAATGGAGGGCCACTAGATGTTTAAGTCAGCCCTTTCAAGTCGACTTATCATATTTCCTAGAAATGATTGAAACGTCGCCACTCCTCTCTTCGTAATTATTGCCGACAGACACCGATGGGAATTCGTTTGCTAGGATTTGTCTCAATGCAAGGTCTACGAAAAATAAATGGAACGATAGCGGTTATACCGTTCTACGAATGAAATCAGACGACGTATTAAATCTGCGATGACTAATGAAAGACCGGGTAAACTGTTCTTAATGATGTCGGTGGTTTCGAGGTATGCATATGTATATTGTACAGCGAGGAACAGATGTATATACGGAATATTATACATACGTATATACATATGTTCCCACAGTAGCAACTGGTAATGAGGATACAGCGTTCATCAATCATTCGTTAGGCAATTCGCGGGGCGAACGACTCCCGACGGAATTAATTTAATTACTACAAATGTTTTGCGGTAAAAATGGCGGACGATCGATATATCGTCGGCCCGGAGATCCACCGTTCGGCGGTAATTTATGCAAGAGCAGCCGTCAGAATTCGAGCGCTCCTCTGGCTCGTCGATCATGGAAGATAGAAACGGACGAACATGTTATCGTGAGACGTTGCTAGATCGGTTAAACGTAATTAAGGAAATTTAATATGGATAATAAATATAATAATACGTTGGCGAGCGGTGATCGATAACTTTTAATGAGCCGTCGTCTTAAGAAATTGATACAGGTCCCTTCATCTGTCAGCTCTGGTGTAGACGTGTGCATGTGTCCGTGTGCCGGAGTAGCCGGGAAAAAATAAAGAACGAATAGTCTCGCCGAGTCGGCAGCTCGCTGCTTAGTTAAGCGGGTAATTAAGTGTTGCACAACGTGCGGAAGCGTGTAACGTCTTCTGTAACGTATCTTTAGGAATAAAAATTCCGCGACTTCGAGCGTAGATAAATCTGATTTATCTCGCCTCGTTCCATGTTTCCAATTCGATTTTCATTTCCTAAGGAAGATACCTCCGACCCTTGACATTTGAATTCTCCGGGCGAGTCCCACAATTTGACATAGTTGAGATTAGAATCGTGGACGGGAGATTCGCGGGAAAAATCGATGGATCGGCGACGGATAACGGGCTGCCGTTAAAGAATCGACGGAGTTTCGGGGTCGAGCACGAGGAATAAATTAACTCGACGATTCCCGGTGTTCCCGTCCGAGCGGTTCACGGTTGAGCTTGTGCACAACCAGCTGGCTTATGGCTGTCTTTGGGATTATCGACAAGATCTACCGTGGCCGAAGTAACTACGAGTTATTACCGAGATAGGCCCATTATATATTATACACGGTTTTCTTTTTATTGCGATCGCCTCTCGCCGTACGCGTCGCGCCGCGCCTCGCCGCGCTCTGCGGCGAGCTCGACGGGCGCGAGATTAGGTTAACAGCCGATGTAGACATTACAGGAGATAGGGTGTTTATAGAGCAATTTTTAAGGCGATGAATTGGCCCGTGCAACGATCGATCTCTAGTCTTGAACGTCAAATTAGATTTCCTCGTGGTTTCTCATCCGACAAGGCTTCATAAAAACTATGAATATTGCGAATTCTATTATAACCAATTTCATGAAACGCATGAATCCAACTATGCTCGTCTATGGATGAATTAATAAAGACTAGAAAGCAACGGCCATCAACAAGTTTATCAAGAATAAAAACCGACGCATTCCATAAGAACGGCTGAATTGATTGGTTGAAAACGGCGCCGATCGAATTATGCAAAACGTATGGCTGTTGCCCGGCTTCTTTTTACCCCGAAGAGCGACGAGTACCTGTAGATAGGTAGGTGATCCAGGCGGCGAGTTGATACACGTCTGAACGGCAGAACTGTCTTCATTAAAGTTCTGCGCGTAGTGGCGGCGGCGGCGGCGGATAAATCAGTTCGCTGCCCGGTGTAAGTTGTCTGGGGCTAATCGAGGCTGACCAAATTAACCAGCGGCGGATGGTGC